GTTTAATTTTATTAAATCTTCCAATCTAGAAGAAATATTACTACCCAGATATTTAATATTTCCTAACTGTAGTTGTGTGTTTTGAGAATTGTTAAAAACACAGTTAATTGGAAGAACTGTAGATTTTAACCAATTTGTAGAGTAGTCAGAAACTTTTGAAAAAGAGTTTATTAATTCAATAACTTTAGATATTGAATTTTCTGCCACTGAAATAATAATGTAAGGACAATTTATGGAACTTCATGTGTAAAAGAACTGGACTGTTGGGAAGTGCAGATAGTTTCTGTTTCTTGATTCTGGTCTCTGGATGTCACAGAATCAGTGATATTATCTGTAAAACAACAAACAGAACTGTTGACAAATAAAATTGTCATTTTACAAATGCACCATAAAATTTCTGTCATGGGTTTTAGTTTCGGTGTGCCGCCCCTGGTTTTTCAGTGGCCCACCCATGCCCCCCCCAGAAAAAATAAATACATTAAAAAACATCCACAGGTGCCACTGTCCCACAGACTAAAAACATGACTGTTAGGTTAAATGATAACTCTAAATTGTCCCTACGTGTGAGTGAGAGTGTGAAAGGTTGTTTGTCTCGTTTGTCTACGTGTCCCTGTGATGGACTGGAGACCCGTCCCCTCGCACTGTAACTGATGGATATCAACACTAGTGACCCCCATGACCCTTAAAGGAAGAAGCGTGATAAGATGATGGATGATTTGCATGTGTTTTTGTCGGGGTTTTTGTACTCGTGGTGTGATTAAAAATAAAGCTTGGAGAGAGAAAAAAGACAAAAGTAGCTGCGGTAGCGACCTCCGTCCTGCAGAGGCGCTGTTTGACAAACCGTCTCCTGTTCATCACGTCTGCTCACACCGGAAGAAAACTCACCATTGAGCCGAACTCACAACGTGAATCTTACGTTAAAGCGCGTTGTAGCAGTAAGAAGCAGTTTTTAGTATTTGTTTACCAGTTTCTGGACTTTTGTTGGAGAAATGGCGTACCGGGGACAAGGACAGAAGGTCCAGAAGGTCATGGTTCAGCCCATTGTATCCTTTTGATCAAACGGACCGGTAAGCTAGATGCTATCAGTCAGCCATTAGCAGCTAGGCTAACCTTTACAGAGCAGGTTTTCTGCTGTGGTTTTACCTGGGCTGACAGGAGAGAGATATATATTTTAACTGAAGCTACTAGATTGTTTATTTTAATTTTAAAAGCATTGAAGTGATGCTTGTATGAGTTAAATGTTAGCAGCGATATGAACTCTACGTTAGCCACTGAAGCTAACACCAATATTCTGACCCTCTGCTACCAGTGACTGCACAGCCTGTTTGATTCTTGGAGCACCATAAGAATTAACATTCTTAGTTTTTAATTGAAAAATGTAAAACATTTTTAGCCATCATAGAAACTTCTATATTGCTCATTTATTTCAAAACCTTAACGAAATATTTTGGGCTTTTTGTATCTTATTAAGAATGTTGGAACTTAGAAATACATATTTTATTCACCACAAACACTGAGTTTATCACAGAAAGTCACGTTGTTGTATATTATCAGTAGCGTTTCTCACAGACTTCTGACTAGTTCCGCACAGAGAGAAAAATGTTTATTTTAAGCTGCAGTTTCTTGAATTTGATCTGCTTTCTGCCCACCTCAGCAGCCAGCTCCACCTTCTAGGAGTTCATGTAGTGGAGCATATTTCAGAAAGGAAGACTCGTTACAGTTTTCCAATCATTTTTATTTCAGCCTGAATATTTGCCTCAAATGTTTCTCAGAGGAGAGCTTGAGTTCAGGAGCCAAAATCCAGTTCTGGTGCACTTGAGACGGGTTCAAGACGCCCGTGACTGAAGAATCTGAGAATCCAGTGACAACCTGAATGAATGAATGAATGAATTAATGAATGAATGAATGAAAGAAAGAATCTGAGAATCCAGTGACAACCTGAATGAATGAATGAATGAATTAATGAATGAATGAATGAAAGAAAGAATCTGAGAATCCAGTGACAACCTGAATGAATGAATGAATGA